ACTGTTGACAATCTGTAGGTGCAAGATTTTCTTATCTGCTCTAAAAGAACAACACTAAATATTATCATGCCACCTTTTTCATGCAGAATTCGCGAATATAAATCACCAGTCTAAAAAAGAAGGATCATTTAGAAGGATGGTTGCTGTCGCACGTATGGTTGTTCATAGACAAGGCGTTTGAAAATATTGAGGGTGTCGAAGCAATAAGGTAAGACAAATATAAATTATATACCTTTATAGAATTTAATCATTAACACCCTGGCTCATTCTGTGTGAACAGGGGAGAATCTTGTAGCATTGCATCATCGTCTCGAAAAAATAGAGATCGAAATGTTCCATCTGTAAGCTCGATGCCAAGGAAGATCATGAGTAGACGAGGATATTTAATAATTCGTTCTATGTATAAAGAATATGGATGCGGAGAAGCGGGCAAACTTTACACAGGATATAACGGTACAAAAGTTCTACGAGAGAGAGGGTTGAAAACACCTAAAATGATGAAAGATCAGTTCGATGACTTATGCAAATACATTGGATCGAAAGAAAAAAAATCAGAAGGCTTGAGACCATCGGATTTATTCATGCAGGTATGATACATCATATTTTTATTTGCCAGATTCTCAACTAATTTTTCCGAATTCTCTAGGACTTTCTGTGCTATTGCTCACGTTAGATTCTCCTGCAGGATACGTCAGTAGAATTTCTCGTTCCAAAATGCTAACCATCCCATCAAATATTAGTGAGTTTAGCAAAGGAGTTCTTCCAGCCATTATACAGTACTTGCATGGAAGGCAAAGGTTTGTGTCTTATAGAAAATATAATTAATTGATTATTGGAATATGTTTATTGATATCTAAAAATTTCTTATGAATAGAAAATTGTTATCAATGTCATCGAGATGATGAATGAAAATGACGAGGAAAATCAACTCCAGGCCCTCCAACAATCATGCGAGAACACTTTATTTCTTTCTCCTTCACGGGATGTAATTTGTCGTACAGCCAGTTTTGATACTCCACGTAGTAAGGATAAAAAGGGTACTTCAACCAATAAGAATACTCCAAACAAGGCAAAAAGAAGCTAAAATCTCGGATGTTGTAAGATTATATAGTTTCTAGTTGAATGTATTAGTTTAGAT